CAACAATCAGTTGCCCATCACTGTTATAATGCAAACAAGTGGATCGTGAGATCTAACTGTATAGCTGTACAAAAATCTTTTAATTGCCGCACAAAATTTTTCTGCTGCAGGTTCTTATAGTTTAGCTTTATGAATATTTAACTGTAATAAATTTATTTTAATTATATATTTATTTAGATTTACAATGTATTGTAAAAGTGATTTTTTTATAAATATCTGTAAATTAACCGCATATTAGAAAAAATATCAAAGCAATTAAATAAATGTTTAATGACTTTCAAACAAACTTGTACCGATATCTGCAGCGATATAAAGATAAGGCATGTCATAAGAAACTAACATTTTAGAAAGAAATTTCCGAAGTATACAAAAACAAGTATGAAAGTATAGTCGGGCGTGACCGACCATATGATACGCTACACCTGTTATGAATATTAAATGTGATTTATTTTTCATAATAATGCATTTATCTTCAATATTACCTTGTTCCGATACATTTAAGCAACTTACTGATGAAATACTAATTTGCTGAAAGAGGCTTTATATGGGGGGCTTGTGTTTATAAGTTAATTTTGGGCATTCAAGTAATTTTCTGAAGGGGACTTTGTATGGGAGCTAGGGTCAAATGAAGACCGTTATTTATGAAATTTGGCGAGGTCATCAAAACTTAGTTGTGCCGTTTATTAGCGATATACAGGTATATTAAACATAATTATGAGCTCAGGAGACCTTTTCGGGGGCTTCTGTTGTATGGGGGCTAGGTGAAATAATGGTCCGATTTTAACAATTCTCAATAGGTCAAAAAAAGCGTGTGTGCCAAATTTCATCCAATTATCTTGAAAATTGCGACCTGTACCTTGCGCACAAGATTTAAATGGACAGCCAGACGGACGGACGGACATAGCTTAATCGACTCAGAAAACGATTCGATCGATACTTTAAGTTGGGTATAGGACGAATGTTTTTCGTATGTTACAAACATCAGCACAAACTCAATAACTCCCCACTAAAGTGGTTGTAGGGTTATAAAAACAAGTCAAATTTTCATGATATACAAAATTTTATAAAAAACACTGATTCAGAGAAAAATACACAACTCTTTAAAGAACGTCTCTGCTGAAAATAGAATTTAAATCTATTTGGAAATCGTTAATTAGTTAGTTAGTTAGCTAGTTAGTTAGCTAGTTAGTAGTTAGTAGTAGTTAGTTAGTTAGTAGTTAGTTATTAGTTAGTTAGTTAGTAGTTAGTTTAGTTAGTTATTTAGTTAGTTAGTTGTTTAGTTTAGTAGTTAGTTAGTTAGTTAGTTAGTAGTTAGTTAGTTAGTAGTTAGTTAGTTAGTTAGTTAGTTAGTTAGTTAGTTAGTTAGTTAGTTAGTTAGTAGTTAGTTAGTTAGTTAGTTAGTTAGTTAGTTAGTTAGTTAGTTAGTAGTTAGTTAGTTAGTTAGTTAGTCGTTAGTTAGTTAGTTATGTAGTTAGTTAGTTAGTTAGTTAGTTAGTAGTTAGTTAGTTAGTAGTTAGTTAGTTAGTTAGTTAGTTAGTTAGTTAGTTAGTTAGTTAGTTAGTTAGTTAGTTAGTTAGTTAGTTAGTTAGTTAGTTAGTAGTTAGTTAGTAGTTAGTTAGTTAGTAGTTAGTTAGTTAGTTAGTAGTTAGTTAGTTAGTTAGTTAGTTAGTTAGTTAGTTAGTTAGTTAGTTAGTAGTTAGTAGTTAGTAGTTAGTTAGTTAGTTAGTTAGTTAGTTAGTTAGTTAGTTAGTTAGTAGTTAGTTAGTTAGGTAGTTAGTTAGTTAGTTAGTTAGTAGTTAGTTAGTTAGTTAGTTAGTTAGTTAGTTAGTTAGTTAGTTAGTTAGTAGTAGTAGTTAGTTAGTTAGTTAGTAGTTAGTTAGTTAGTTTAGTTAGTTAGTTAGTTAGTTAGTAGTTAGTTAGTTAGTAGTTAGTTAGTTAGTAGTTAGTTAGTAGTTAGTTAGTTAGTTAGTTAGTTAGTTAGTTAGTTAGTTAGTTAGTTAGTTAGTTAGAGTTAGTTAGTTAGTTAGTCAGTTAGTTAGTTAGTAGTTTAGTTAGTTAGTTGTTAGTTAGTTAGTTAGTTAGTTAGTTAGTAGTTAGTTAGTAGTTAGTTAGTTAGTTAGTTAGTTGTTAGTTTAGTAGTAGTTAGTTAGTTTAGTAGTTAGTAGTTAGTTAGTTAGTTAGTAGTTGTTAGTTAGGTTAGTTAGTTAGTAGTAGTTGTAGTTAGTTCGTTAGTATTAGTGTTAGTTCGTTAGTTAGTTAGTGTTAGTTAAGTTAGTTAGTAGTTAGTTAGTTAGTTAAGTCGTAGTTTAGTTAGTTCGTTAGTTAGTTAGTTAGTTAGTTAGTTAGTTAGTTAGTTAGTTAGTTAGTTAGTTAGTTAGTTAGTTAGTTAGTTAGTTAGTTAGTTAGTTTAGTTAGTAGTTAGTTAGTTAGTTAGTTAGTTAGTTAGTTAGGTTAGAGTTTAGTTAGTTAGTTAGTTAGTTAGTTAGTTAGTTAGGTAGTTAGTGTAGTAAGTTAGTTAGTTAGTGAGTTAGTTAGTTAGTTAGTTAGTTAGTAGTTAGTTAGTTAGTTAGTTAGTTAGTTAGTTAGTTAGTTAGTTAGTTAGTTTGTAACAGGTTATATTCGGGGAGTAGAAGTTAAAAACTTTTCTACAATGTTTGGCCATATGGAACCTTACGCACGTACTGGCTGACTAGCTAGATCGGGAGATATGGGCGGGGATCTTGTTCCATTGTACCTGGTTCCGTACAATAAGAAAAAAACTTACGTGCGATTTAATTGCCCTTTTTATTAAATAAAAAAAAAAACTATAAAAATTCCTCCTACAAACAATATCACATCCTTTTGTTAGCATTGGTGTTATTGCTAAAGGCTCTCAACCCACCCGACCGTGTTTTCCTAAGGCCTATAAAGTTTATAAGAAAACCCTATCACACATTACCTTACCTCTGTCCCTGTAGTTCTACATAATCAAAAGAGTATCACACTGTCATAATTTCAATTTCAAAATTATATGTATTATAACAAAATCTCTTCAGAAATACATTTCATTATTTCTCTTAAATTTAAAGTAAGTAAATTATTATGATAATAGATAAATTATAAAAGAAAGAGTAAAAAAAAAAAAGTATCATTCTCATTTACATTAAACAACAGAGAAAAGCTTCAACAATTCAAATCAAAACTCACTAAAAGAGTAAAGCAACAAACTTTCTTTGTTGTTGTAATGTTTAATGAAAAATGAAAAGAATAAATCAAAATTATCAATGAGCGAGTAATTACTACTAAAATATTAACATCTTATTGGAATAATAAAACAAAAGGAACTAACAAATTGTAACTTACAGTAGAGTCTTGATTCCAATGCTGAAGGCCTTCTGCTTGATGATTTTGGAGTCGATTTACACCGTATTTGTAATGTTTATATTAAGATGTTAATTTTAGTATTAATTTTTACTTAGTTAAATTATTTAATAGTTAGGAAAATTTAATTATACGTAAATTTATAGTTGTTAAAATTTCATCAGATCATGTTTTAATTTAGAAAATATTAATATAGGTGTTAGTATATAGAATTTTGATTTAGTCGTTTTTAATATTTGAAATAACAAATGATCATATTGTTCGGTATTTGTTTTTAAACTTTAATGGACATATTATTTCAAATATTAGATACGATCATTAAGCTAAGTTTAATTGTTGTTAATATTAAATAGTTGTTAATATATTGATATAAATTTAATTTTTCTGGATTTTAAGATGTGATTTTAATAATGAATTGTTAAAATTTGAACTTCTTAAGATAGTTTATAAGCCATAATTATAATTTTAGAAGTTAGTTGTAATTTGGACAGAAATTTATTCTGTTGTTAATTGGTAATTTTGAGTCTCTAAGTTAGAATATTAGGAAATTTGTTTATGGGTTAGACTGAATCATTGTAAGGTGTATTATTTTCTGGATTTCTGTTGAATACTTCTATGATTTGTGTCCAATCCCGTTTTGATCAATGAAATTTTGGTTTTGCTGAATTATTACTAAGCACATTGTTGTCCATGCGGAACAGATTCAAGGCATGTAAAACTACTAGTTGGTGGCCACATCAACAGATTTTGAGGCAACACTCAAACTGGTTACTCTCGAGTAAGTGACTGGTGTTTGGGACACGTTGTCCCAAATCTTGGTCCAAGATAAATAATATTTACTCGAGAGTATAGTATAATAATCCTATATTGAAAATTGACTAAATCAGTGAAAAATAACTAAATTTTTATCTAAATTTTCTTTACCTTTCTGTTTATAATTGTAAGAAAAGATGTAATTTTCCTTTCGAATATAGAGATTTAGAAATTTCTTTTAAAATTGTAAAAATTTGTAAAATTATATACAGCAAATTATCTTTTAAACTTTATTATTTAGTATATTTTGTCTTTTTAAACTTTATACAATTCAGAATTTTCAGAGAAAACCACGTTTTCTTACTATTATCACTTTTCCCACAAATATTTGCTGATGTGTGTGATTTCACTGCTGGATTTAAAAAGAACGAACAAATGTATTTTACTAAAAAGCCAACCAGTTCAGATAATTGTAAGCTTATTATCATGTATATCTGATAATATGCAAATATTGTAAGAAAAGCTTTTATTTTTTCCCTATGAAAATAGTAAATGTTTAAAAGAGACAACAATATAAGATTATATCTCTCTCATATCATGTATACTTTGCTGAGAATATATACATGATCGAAAATGCTGAAAAACGCAAAGAAGAATAAAAAGATCATAAAACCACATTGGTCCAGTGTAATATTGAAAGGTACTTAATAATGCATTGTTGCATTTGTAAGTACTTAATATTATCACTTAAAATGTTAGGGAAGTATTCTCATCGACATATACCTAATTAAATTGATGTTAAAAAGTCAAATTAAAGTAAATTTTTAAAATTAAATTGAAATAAAACTGCAAAGGAGTAGAAATTATGAAATTGTCACATTACAAGTTAGTTAGTTAGTTAGTTAGTTAGTTAGTTAGTTAGTTAGTTAGTTAGTTAGTTAGTTAGTTAGTTAGTTAGTTAGTTAGTTAGTTAGTTAGTTAGTTAGTTAGTTAGTTAGTTAGTTAGTTAGTTAGTTAGTTAGTTAGTTAGTTAGTTAGTTAGTTAGTTAGTTAGTTAGTTAGTTAGTTAGTTAGTTAGTTAGTTAGTTAGTTAGTTAGTTAGTAGTTAGTTAGTTAGTTAGTTAGTTAGTTAGTTAGTTAGTTAGTTAGTTAGTTAGTTAGTTAGTTAGTTAGTTAGTTAGTTAGTTAGTTAGTTAGTTAGTTAGTTAGTTAGTTAGTTAGTTAGTTAGTTAGTTAGTTAGTTAGTTAGTTAGTTAGTTAGTTAGTTAGTTAGTTAGTTAGTTAGTTAGTTAGTTAGTTAGTTAGTTAGTTAGTTAGTTAGTTAGTTAGTTAGTTAGTAGTTAGTTAGTTAGTTAGTTAGTTAGTTAGTTAGTTAGTTAGTTAGTTAGTTAGTTAGTTAGTTAGTTAGTTAGTTAGTTAGTTAGTAGTTAGTTAGTTAGTTAGTTAGTTAGTTAGTTAGTTAGTTAGTTAGTTAGTTAGTTAGTTAGTTAGTTAGTTAGTTAGTAGTAGTTAGTAGTAGTTAGTTAGTTAGTTAGTTAGTTAGTTAGTTAGTTAGTTAGTTAGTTAGTTAGTTCGTTAGTTAGTTAGTAGTTAGTTAGTTAGTAGTAGTTAGTTAGTTAGTTAGTTAGTTAGCTAATTAATTAGTTAGCTACATTTTGTGTTCTTTTTTAGTTAGTTATATCAACTTATATTGTGTTATCTAAGACTTAAACCTTAGTGTCTTTACTAAACTTTTAATAACATATAAGCGCTTTTTCAAATTTTAAGATCGGCTTTTAAATGTTTCGCCTACAAATAGCCAATGCTTGCATCTTTTAAGTGTCGATGTGATATAAACACGTACTTTGTGGTGTAACAAATGAACAAGCTTTACGCTTTAAAGCTCTTTTGAAAGCTTATAGCTTCTACTGCCTGCAAAAGTGTTCTCTTGCATGACTAAAGCTCAACTATAACAAGGAAAGTCCTATGATTAAAAGAAATTTAAATCGTACGATTGAAGCTAGTCTAGGTCTAGTCATTCTTTTTTACTGCAGATATAGAATTTAATCAATATTTAATATAAAAATATAAGACTGTCTAAACTTGATTTGTTTAAAATTAACTAAACCTGGTTTAAGAAACATTATTACTTTAGCCAGCATGTATGTATGAAATAGTAACCTTGTAATTATTCAATATCAAAAAAACGTGAACGTGCGGTGAACTATTATATTTGTGACTTTGTTAAATATAAATTACTGTAATTGCAAAATGTGCTAAATTACTTTTAAATAACCGTTACTAAGATCAAGTTCAAAAAACTCCACAAATACAATTATAAACAATTAACTTCTTTTCTAAATTAAAGCAATAATAAGCTAGTTACTATTATTTTCGAAAACTATATAAAATTATATTTTAATTACAAATTTACAAAATTTATTTTTATAAAATTTATAAACAACTTAAAACCATAATACTGGTTAAATATGTATTTGTTCTAGATACTTATAGCTAATTATAGGGTGGTTGGTTAGTTGGTTGCAAGGCCAGCTCTTGTGTGCAAAAAGGTATGTATTACAGCCACAACTTTACTGATCTATCAGCCTTGGTGGTGGTTCAATGAAATTGCTATTTTTGGCAGTACAACGCTCCGCATATGGTTCATTTGGCAAGACATCTTGACTTAGCAGCAGTAACTTGTCCAACGGACACTTAAGATCACAGTGGGGTATTTGTAATTGTTTGAGGCAGCCCTGCTCATCATTGCGCAAGAAGATCTATAATTAAAGCACAGAATTAGAGAACAAATTTTATGATTTTATGAAAAACATACCTCCACATAATACTCCTGTGTGATGGGATTTTTATGCAGTTCAAATATGGCCATTACCGAAAACCTAGGCATTTGTCTATCCCATACCTTTAAGGCAGACAATATATTACCCACTGTCCAATCATGACCCGTATAAATAAACATTTTTCTATCAAAAGGCTTAAGCTTTTGAGCCCTTTTCTTCAACATCTCATCGTACATTTTCTTTAGGAAAGGACCACCCTTTATCTTTTGCATTTCCCTAGTATAAGCATTATAAACATAACTCTGTTCAGCCAAAAATTGCATTTTATCGGGGAAATAATCTTTCGTCCATTCGGGTAGCGGCAAACCAAAATCTCTCTCCGCCTCCAGAGTAATATAAAGAGAATTGATGTGCTCAGCATTAGTCACATTCATGCCCGTTAGTTCAGTTAGATTTTTGAATAGAGATTGGTATTTCAACATTTCCGCTTTAACTTCGGGTAATTCGAACACCTCATCTCGAGCCTCAAAATATCGAGGGCAAGGGGTGCGTACTAAAAGCAATGAATCTTGATCCAAGGGTTCTGAGAATATGGGTATAGGCTGCCAATTGAGAGTAGGATGCCATTCCATGGGAGTATTTTGGGGTGGAAACATGCTGGCTAAAACGGTAGATAAGGTCATCATGGCTCTAGGGGAAGCAGTAGCTTGGGCATAAACTTTCTACAAAGAAAATACATATAGAAAACATTAGAAAAAATGGTCTCGTTTTAAAAAATAATTGCTTACATCTGGTGTATAATACGGTTCCATATACTTTCCATAACGTTTATTTAGTAATTTGCCCAATTCATATAACTCCCTTTTACCTTTCTATAGTGCCAAAAAGAAATCTTCTTAAATTGTGTAAAAAAATAACTAAGAACAAAACAAACTTACATTGGTTATGTGACCCCAACCGGTAGGCTCAAATCCACTATTTACATAAGGATCTCTAGGGTAGGTATCTACTGGTGTTCGGGGACCATGTCGCAAAACCTTTGAACAAAAAAATAAGTTAAAAATAACATATAAGCTAAATATATACAGATTTTACTATAGCCTGCGCCATAGTCAAGTTTAAAGTTTGGACTATGGACTAAAATAATCCAGTCAATAGTCCAGCTTATATTACAGTCCACAGTCTAGTCAACTAGATAGTCTTGTCTCTAGTCTATAGACTATATTTTGGTCTATAGTCTAGTCTATGGTCCAGTCTATAGTCTAGCTTATAGGCTAGCCTTAAGTCATTTTTGTCTTGTCTAGTCTAGTCTAGTCTAGGCTAGGCTAGGCTAGGCTAGTCTAGTCTGATCTAGTCTATAGTCTAGTCTATAGTCTAGTCTATAGTCTAGTCTATAGTCTAGTCTATAGTCTAGTCTATAGTCTAGTCTATAGTATAGTCTATAGTCTAGTCTATAGTCTAGTCTATAGTCTAGTCTATAGTCTAGTCTATAGTCTAGTCTATAGTCTAGTCTATAGTCTAGTCTATAGTCTAGTCTATAGTCTAGTCTATAGTCTAGTCTATAGTCTAGTCTATAGTCTAGTCTATAGTCTAGTCTATAGTCTAGTCTATAGTCTAGTCTATAGTCTAGTCTATAGTCTAGTCTATAGTCTAGTCTATAGTCTAGTCTATAGTCTAGTCTATAGTCTTGCTAGCCTATAGTCTAGTCTACAGTCTAGTCTATAGTCTAGTCTATAGTCTAGTCTATAGTGTAGTCAACAGTCTAGTCTATAGTCTTGCCTAAGGTCTAGTCTATAGTCTAGCCTATAGTCTAGTCTATAGTCTAGTCTATAGTCTAGTCTATAGTCTAGTCTATAGTCTAGTCTATAGTCTAGTCTATAGTGTAGTCTATAGTCTAGCCTATAGTCTAGCCTATAGTCTAGCCTATAGTCGAGTCTATAGTCTAGCTTATAGTCTAGTCTATAGTCTAGTCTATAGTGTAGTCTATAGTCTAGTCTAAAGTCTAGTCTAGTGTATAGTCTAGTCTATAGTCTAGCCTATAGTCGAGTCTATAGTCTAGCCTATAGTCTAGTCTATAGTCTAGTCTATAGTGTAGTCAACAGTCTAGTCTATAGTCTAGTCTAGAGTCTAGTCTATAGTCTAGTCTATAGTCTAGTCTATAGTCTAGTCTATAGTCTAGTCTATAGTCTAGTCTATAGTCTAGTCTATAGTCTAGTCTATAGTCTAGTCTATAGTCTAGTCTATAGTCTAGTCTATAGTCTAGTCTATAGTCTAGTCTATAGTCTAGCTATAGTCTAGTACAGTCTAGTCTATAGTCTAGCCTATAGTCTAGCCTATAGTCTAGCCTATAGTCGAGTCTATAGTCTAGCCTATAGTCTAGTCTATAGTCTAGTCCATAGTGTAGTCAACAGTCTAGTCTATAGTCTAGTCTATAGTCTAGCCTATAGTCTAGCCTATAGTCTAGTCTATAGTCTAGCCTATAGTCTAGTCTATAGTCTAGCCTATAGTCTAGCCTATAGTCTAGTCTATAGTCTAGTCTATAGTCTAGTCTATAGTCTAGTCTATAGTCTAGTCTATAGTCTAGTCTATAGTCTAGTCTATAGTCTAGTCTATAGTCTAGTCTATAGTCTAGTCTATAGTCTAGTCTATAGTCTAGTCTATAGTCTAGTCTATAGTCTAGTCTATAGTCTAGTCTATAGTCTAGTCTATAGTCTAGTCTATAGTCTAGTCTATAGTCTAGTCTATAGTCTAGTCTATAGTCTAGTCTATAGTCTAGTCTATAGTCTAGTCTATAGTCTAGTCTATAGTCTAGTCTAGTCTATAGTCTAGTCTATAGTCTAGTCTATAGTCTAGTCTATAGTCTAGTCTATAGTCTAGTCTATAGTCTAGTCTATAGTCTAGTCTATAGTCTAGTCTATAGTCTAGTCTATAGTCTAGTCTATAGTCTAGTCTATAGTCTAGTCTATAGTCTAGTCTATAGTCTAGTCTATAGTGTAGTCAACAGTCTAGTCTATAGTCTAGCCTATAGTCTAGCCTATAGTCTAGTCTATAGTCTAGTCTATATTCTAGTCTATAGTCTAGTCTATAGTCTAGTCTATAGTCCAGTCTACAGTCTAGTCTATAGTCTTGTCTATAGTCTAGTCTATAGTATAGTTTACTATATAGTATAGTATAGTCTATAGTATTTAGTGTAATCAGTAGTCAAGTCTATAGTTTTGTCCTGTCTATAGTCTTATCTTTAGTAAAGTATTTGGTCTAGTCTGAGTCTAGTATATAGTCTAATTTCATACTGGTTTCATTGTTGTTGCTATGTAGCTTGAATTAGATTCTGTCCTATGGTAACCATGACATTGTAGTTTTTATCCTTTCCATTCACTAGCTTATAACTTTCTCTGTTGTTTTTTATCTTTTCTTCACTTTCAAAAATTTCGTGACAAATGTCACATTTATCGCTCGACAGTACTTACTATATGCACTAATTCCAATGTTGAATTTTTCGTATCCACTTCCGTATTGAAACATTCAAACTGTGTTTTAACAGATGTTGTTGCACAGAATATAATAATGACAATAATCACAATAGAACTTAAAAGTAAAAGGAATACGAAATTTTTTCTGGAAATATTGAACAGCATTTTGGTGAGGATTTTTTACGACAACAACACTTTTTTTAAAAATTATATTTATTGTTTTATTTGCAGCTTTTTTAATTAATTAATAGTCATTGGTATAATATTTAGCACTTGATGGTGTTAAGTATATTAATAATATTTAAATTATTTTTTAATTATATTTTAATTGTTTTATTTATCATTAATTCATTTTTTATCTCGTAATGATTGTCTTTTAATTATCATTTTATTAGAAAATGTTATAAACTTTATTTTCACTTTTACTTTTTAATAATTTTAAATTTATTTCTTTCTCTATATTTATATTGACATTTAGTACTTTTATATTCAATTAATGTTCCACTTAATTTTTCTATTTAACCGTTCTAGACACAATTTATGCACCTGTTGTGTTTGCCCGTTTAAAGTCGGCGACAAATTGAGTTAGATGAACTTAAAAACATCTGTTTTTAAATCGTTTCCAATGTAACTACTATTATTTATTTATGCATGTATTATTTGTTTTTATAAAATGCAGTTTTTACTATTAGAGAGTTCTATTGTAAACAAAAACAACCAACTTTAAGAGAACAATATACATGTTATAAAAAATTTGCACAGTGGGATGCTAGAAACAGAATAGAGGCAAATGTTGATGTAAATTGATAATGACTAGACTACAAACAAGACTATAGACTAGACTATAGACTAGACTATAGACTAGACTATTGACTAGACTATAGACTAGACTATAGACTAGACTATAGACTAGACTATAGACTAGACTGTAGACTAGACTATAGACTAGACTATAGGCTAGACTATAGACTAGACTATAGACTAGACTACAGACTAGACTACAGACCAAACTAGACTATAGACTAGACTTTAGACTAGACATTTGACTAGACTATAGACTAGACTATAGACTAGACTATAGACTAGACTATAGACTAGACTATAGACTAGACTATAGACTAGACTATAGACTAGACTATAGACTAGACTATAGACTAGACTATAGACTAGACTATAGACTAGACTAGACTATAGACTAGACTAAAGACTAGACTATAGACTAGACTATAGACTAGACTATAGACTAGACTATAGACTAGACTATTGACTAGACTATAGACTAGACTATAGACTAGACAATAGATTAGACTATCGACTAGACTATAGACTAGACTATAGACTAGACTATAGACTAGACTATAGACTAGACTATAGGCTAGACTACAGACTAGACTACAGACTAGACTACAGACTAGACTACAGACCAAACTAGACTATAGACTAGACTTTAGACTAGACTTTAGACTAGACTATAGACTAGACTATAGACTAGACTATAGACTAGACTATAGACTACACTATAGACTAGACTATAGACTAGACTATAGACTAGACTATAGACTAGACTATAGACTAGACTATAGACTAGACTATAGACTAGACTATAGACTATAGACTAGACTATAGACTAGACTATAGACTAGACTATAGACTAGACTATAGACTAGACTATAGACTAGACCAACGGTTCCCAAATGGGGGTCCGCGGACCCCTAGTGGTCCGTAGTAAAATCCTAGGGGGTCCGCAAAGACGAACGAAAAAAACCATGAATAAACAATATTCTGCTTCTATATGTATGTACAGATATCTCCAATTCTTGTGCAATAATCCCAAATTTGTTGGTGACTTTTTGAATTTTATTTTTTCGGTTGTTTATCAGGAAGAAGCTAGGCCCTACAAATTTATTGTATAACTTTTATAAAGTAAAGTACTGCGTGATTTGTAATTTTTATTTCCTGTATATGTACTGAAATAATGGTTTTTATTTCAGACAAATAATACTCTGCCTTACAATTAAATTAGGGATACTGGTATTCCGGAGTATGAAGTTCAATTCAAAGACAAGCTTATTTCAGATATAAGTTTATCAAATTGTAAGCAAAAGTGTTCTCGTTTGAAAGGACTTAAATTATATATTTCCAAAACAGAGGTGACTCTTTATGCATCTCTTTATTAATATTTCAATCCGACGTGATACACAGATTTTAACTTGATTTTGTCGACCAATATATATTATTAAATTAACATCAGAAAATCCATAGCGTTTCGCGTAAATATGTAGCCAAAAACCATGAAGTAAAATAATTCGTTGGTATTTTAAAATTCAAATTTAAGTTCCAAATTCACAGTACTTTAACAAAGAGTTCAAATCATATATTATGCGGATAACGCATTCCGCAACAACATAGAAGAAGTCCAACTTTCTTATATTATTTTCCCGAAAACTTAGCTCACTTACTCAGTTCACCCTTTGCAATCGCAACAAATTTTTGAAACGTGACTCCTTAAGCACATGTGACAATATTTGATAAAGAAACCTTTTCGCTACCTTGAAGAAAAATGAACATGAAAGATCTCACGATGATAAAATTAAACATCATGTTAACATATCAACAAAGAAGTCATTCTATCTTCAAAACATGCAATTGAAAACCTATCTGAAATATTATATATTCTCAATGTACGGGAATATTTTATAGATATGACATCTCTACATTTATTAGACCTAGGGATTAATGAGCTAGGTCAATTTTCGGATGGACAATTATTTAGAACAGTAAGATATCAAAATATGTATGGGGGTCCGCGAAATTAAATAAGTTCTTCAAGTGGTCCGCGAAGTAAAAATCTGTGGGAACCGCTGGACTAGACTATAGACTAGACTATAGACTAGACTATTGACTAGACTACAGACTAGACTATAGACTAGACTATAGACTAGACTATAGACAAGATTATAGACTAGACTATAGACTAGACTATAGATTAGACTATAGACTAGACTATAGACTAGACTATAGACTAGACTATAGACTAGACTATAGACTAGACTATAGACTAGACTATAGACTAGACTATAGACTAGACTATAGACTAGACTATAGACTAGACTATAGACTAGACTATAGACTAGACTATAGACTAGACTATAGACTAGACTATAGACTAGACTATAGACTAGACTATAGACTAGACTATAGACTAGACTATAGACTAGACTATAGACTAGACTATAGACTAGACTATAGACTAGACTATAGACTAGACTATAGACTAGACTATAGACTAGAATATAGACTAGACTATAGACTAGACTATAGACTAGACTATAGACTAGACTATAGACTAGACCATAGACTAGACTATAGAGTAGACTATAGACTAGACTATAGACTAGACTATAGACTAGACTATAGACTAGACTATAGACTAGACTATAGACTAGACTATAGACTAGACTATAGACTAGACTATAGACTAGACTATATACTATACTATAGAGTACACTATAGACTAGACTATAGATTAGACTATAGACTAGATAACCTGAGTATTATTTTAAGAGAAACTTTTGACTTTAAGACTAAAATATTAGTGATGAGAAGTGTGTCGAATTTTGCAATGAGAAATTCTTATTACGATTTTTTATATTTACTAAAATAATTACTTTATAAACAATATTATATAAATCTAATTATTATCATTAAAATACATGTTTGGTTTTTTTCAGAACGTGTTTTTAAAAAATTACTAATAAATTAAGAACGAGCCCCCAGATGTGTGTGTGTGTTTTTTTTTTCATAGCGAATGGAAAATTTTAATAACATTTTAATATGCCGTTATTAATAAATATGTTTTTGAAATATTAGTAGTTTTGTATCATAAAATTATTATTAATTTTAACATTAATTCTAAAAAAATACAAAGTGTTTAATAAAGTTGTTTACTTATTTAATAGTTATTTAAATAATTAACATGAATATAATTATTTTATTATTGATTTATTAAAATTTTGTTATAAAATTCAAGAAACGTACGATATATCATTATTTATATAGATTTGAAATTAAATTCGGAAGTTGCATAAGTTGTAAATTAAGTGTTGACAGATATTGACTTTAACTTGACAGTTTTGTAAATAGAAAATAAATTGTTAAACTGAACAGGTATGAAAGAGAAAGGTCATTTAGGCAGCAAAAGAAATTAATAAAATACGAGGTTGGATTTAAAATTTAGAGAAATAAAAAAATTTAATATTTTATCGAATGTTTCAGTTCGGTATTAGAGGCGAAAATCTTGACTCAAAAGATTTCATATTCAACTCTTATGACTTTAGTCTTCATTCAACCCTCGTTTATTACTAATTCAAGAATTTCTTTATTTGTATTTTTGCATTTCTCAATCATATTTTTGTTTATTTTATTAAAATTTTTTTTTTTCTTTCGAAATAAATTTATTTGCACAATGACACGTAACTAATGCTTGATGTATTGCAACTTAATTGTAATATTTCATCAGCTAATGTTTCAATTGAAAAACTAGATTTTAACAAATCAATATTTAATTTCTTACATTAATTCTATTAATTAACTAAAGTTTGTTTTAACTACTTAGTAGTTAAAATATAATTAATGTTTGAAATTAATTTTAAGAAAAATTTTGTTAAAAATAATTTTGCTCTAAATATGAAAAACTGTTATAAATTTGAATGCGATTAGAAAATTAGCAGTAAAATACCAATCTATGATACAGAACAGACTACAGAGTAGAATGTAGACTGGGACACAATACAATATAGACTAGAATATATACTATAGACTAGACTCTAGACTAGACTATAGACTAGACTATAAACTGGACTATAGACTAGACTATAGACTAGACTATAGACTAGACTATAGACTAGACTATAGACTAGACTATAGACTAGACTATAGACTAGACTATAGACTAGACTATAGACTAGACTATAGACTAGACTATAGACTAGACTAGACTAGACTATAGACTAGACTATAGACTAGACTATAGACTAGACTATAGACTAGACTATAGACTAGACTATAGACTAGACTATAGACTAGACTATAGACTAGACTATAGACTAGACTATAGACTAGACTATAGACTAGACTATAGACTAGACTATAGACTAGACTATAGACTAGACTATAGACTAGACTAAAGACTAGACTATAGACTAGACTATAGACTAGACTATAGACTAGACTATAGACTAGACTATAGACTACACTATAGACTACACTATAGACTAGACTATAGACTAGACTATAGACTAGACTATAGACTAGACTATAGACTAGACTATAGACTAGACTATAGACTAGACTATAGACTACACTATAGACTAGACTATAGACTAGACCATAGACTAGACTATAGACTAGACTATAGACTAGACTATAGACTAGACTATAGACTAGACTATAGACTAGACTATAGACTAGACTATAGACTAGACTATAGACTAGACTATAGACTAGACTATAGACTAGACTATAGACTAGACTATAGACTAGACTATAGACTAGACTATAGACTAGACTA